CTTATCCTCACTGTTAGCGAAGCAATAATGGAGACTGGAGCATTAGTAATTCCTTCTTAAGATAACAGAGATGTCTCAGCTCCAACTGATGGTTGCTATGTGGGAAAATAAAGCCCAGCATTGTCAGAGCTTCCGATTTGCTTTTCCCCCCAAAGACGAAAGGAATCTGGAGTTTTACATGAAATCTTGAAATATTTAAACGCTGACAACTAAGTCAAAATATAACACTGAGCAGACCTATGAAAATATGTCTGTGGGTCACAGCAGGCCCCACGAGCCCTCTGTTTGCAAACTTAGAAGCTGCTCAATGCAAGCTGAGTAGCAGAACCAAAACCAAGTTGGAAGCATGTGTAATGCTAATGGCGAGTCAGTTCTGTCCACATGCTGTGAAGAAGAGATGTCTGAATAAGAAATAAAGCACTCAAGTAAGTCAGTGCCCAATAAATTGAAAAGAATTTGAAGAATCCAGTCTGGATCTAGCTTATGTATATAAGAGCCTTAAAATCTATTTAGGTAACAAGGCATCAAAGCCTCAAAATTTTAGAAATTCAAGAGTTCTAGCCTATTCCTCAAGACTACTCCCACACATTATCATATTAGATTCTTGTCACTACACAAATTCTCTTAGATTCTGATCCTACAGTTAATCAGAGAATAGAATTGTTAGTCTTAACAGACTATTCCCAGTTCTGGGAAGCTGCCCCAAGTTGTAAAACAAACATATTATTCAAAATATCTGAATACAGAAAAGATTCATCTTGAAAATGCTATCAAATGTAATTTTTCCTTTTTAAAAAAGGAAAATACAGTCAGATCCACAAATTAGCCTTTGTAAATTCCAGCATGCCCACTATCCCATGGATTCAATGCTCTTATTTCTCATTCATTTCAACCACTGAATACACTATACATCCTCATTACTAGACAAGCCTTTCCCTTATTCACCTCATCAGTGTGTATACATAATACATACATATAGATAGACACACACAGACACACAGTCGGCCCTCAGCATCCATGCATTCTGCGTCTGCAGATTCAACCAACCACAGATCAAAAATATTTGGAAAAAAAACTATGCTGAACACATGCAATTATCTTGTCACTATTCCCTAAACAGTATAACAATTGTTTAAATACCATTTGCATTTTATTAGGTATTATAAATAATCTAGAGATGACTTAAGGTATACAAGAGAATGTGTGTAGATTATATGCAAACCCTGCACCATTTTATATGAGGAACTTGAGCATCTGCAGATTTTAGCATCCAAGAGAAGTCCCGGAACCAATCCTCTGTGGATACTAAGGGACACTTGTGTATATACAGTGAATGTTCACCTTAACCAATTATTTGAGCAGCTTCTGTAGGAAGAATTCATTAAGAGTAGTAGAGGGACAGTTGTTGAATAACAGGTTGGTGTGTAGACATCTAAGACACAGCGTCTGCCATCAAAAAAGTTTAAAATCCAATGAGTTCAGCAATACAAACAGATTAGAGGAGTAGATTAGTGGTTCTCAACCTCAGCCAGGCATTAGAATAGGCTGGAGTGCTTTTTAAAATACCTATGCCCAGGACCCACTCCAAATCCAATGAATGAGAATCTCGGAGAAAGGGACACAGGCATCTGTACTGTTTAAAATGTTAAATGAAAATTAGAGGTGAATGATGATCAGCCAGGGTTGGGAGTCCCTGCAGGATAAAGCTCAATTACCCGTTCACCTGTGACACGTAATTTTGATGATAAATTTAACTAATTACTCAATGATCTCCACCATGAGTACGTAAGACAACAATCACTTCTCCACTAACAACTTCACTAAATTGGATTTGGAAGCTGGGACACTGATGAAGTGCCAGGATTCCGAGATAAGCAATCCCATAGTTCTCACCTCGCAGTCTACTGCCTTTCCAATGGAGTTCATCAAATGGTGGCAGGAACCTCAAAGTCCCAGAGTTCAGAATATAATTAAAGCCTTCCCAAAAGCTCCCCCTGTATCTTCAGGATCACACCAACGTATGGCCTTATCTGATGTTGATTCGGGGGCTCCCAACATTCCAAAAATGTTTTCCTTGTTCTCAGCAGGTAGTGGTTACTTCTCAGATGCTGTCCACGAAATCTGGAATGATATCCTTGGGCTTCACTTACTTTCCAAACTCTAGAAACCTCAACTTCCATCCTCAATCTTGAAACCTGTTTTTCTCCCATCTAAATTACTCAGTGCCTCAGGAAAAAATGGACTTACTTTACATTTATATTCATGTTCCCACCAAATTTGTTTCTTTATACACTCCTCACCTGGATGTGTAAGATCTTGCCCATTTTCCCATTTGTAGTTAGGTTGAGGAATATTTTTCATAGATAATTTGCAAATCCTACAGTATTTGCCTCAGAAACTAGACTTTCTACATGTTGACCTTACAAAAGATATAATTAAGAGAAACTTGTGGATTGTCCATCACAATTCAAGAAGCAAAATTGCTACTTTTAGGTTGATGTGATATAGCAGTTAGTAGATAGAAATGTCTTTTTTAAACAAGCATTAAATCATATGAATAAATTCCAGTTCATAACAACATATATAGTACTAGGCTATGCAGTTAATAGCTGAGAGCAAAGATCTAGAAACACAGTTCCTGGTTTCTAAACCCAGATCTGCCACTTACTTGTCATGTCTCTGTGTCCCTTTTTCCCCCGATTTGTAAAATGGGGATAATAAAACTACCTACCTCCTAAAGTTATTGTGAGAAATAAGTCATAAGCATAAAGCTCTTAAAACAGGGCAGGCACAGAATAAGCACAATACATGTTATTTGTTAATGTGATTATTAGTATGAAGAGCAGGGCTTAAAACCTTGCTGTCTAGGAAGACAAGCCTTTTAACTGTCTTTCACTGATTTATGGAAAGTGAATTTATTACACATTGTTTTTCAAATTGAATTTTGACATTTCTGGCCATTTCTCATTTAAAAAAATAAAAGCATGGAATTTGTTATTTATTGACCTTTCAATGCCATTAGGAATACCATTTAATATTAAATATTATGATTACAATATTTAAAATGAAACTATGGGAGAAGAATATTTGGGAAGGAGAAAAAATCATCACTATTTCTAAAAAGGAAATTTTAAAAGCAAAAAAAATTTATATGCTGTAGGTAACCTTTAAATGTCACATTCACTAATATATAAATGTAAACGGAAAAATACAAGTCTGGTAGTAACAGTAAACTGATCAATGCAATTACAGCATGGGTTCTGTGACATTATAAGTTACATTTCCATTCCAGAATATCAATAATTTTCTACCACCTTTTATGATCAAATTATAGTGCATTAAATACCATCTGGTTAGTTCTCTTCATACTATTTACAAGCTTGTAGCTTATCTCTTACTTGGACAGCGCCCTGTACTAAACTTCTAAGTATACAAGATTTGAGGGCATAAATTATTTTTTAATAGTTAAAAAGTAACTTCAACTCAGTAAGACAGTCCTTCAATAAGATCTCAGTAATTTGTCTGGAGTAATGCTGTTACTATTAACTTTAACCCACTTTCAAGAGTTAGTAAAATATGATTTAATAGACAATTGATTACTTGTTTAAATTTCAGTTAACTGAATTACATGATATAAACAGCACGCGCTATTTTAACAATGGCAAACACACACACAACATTCCAGTAGATTTTCACATGGTTTTATAAGTCACTAATTTTTTCCCTCCTCCATCTCAATTCCATCAATAAAGAGTTCATCTTTAGGGGTTGGTCCAGTTCTTAAGTATCCAAAGCAACATATGCATGTATTTATCCAGAGCTGGATTTTTTTTTTTTTTCTGTAGAATAGTCCTTACTGGAGGCAAAGACAGTGCAAGTATTTTCTTAAACCCCTAAACTATATACTTGTAAGAAATAATTACTTTCATGCTTTGGGTAACCTATAAGAAGTTAAAATGTAAGATGATTTACATTTTTCCATCACTAGATTGACCAATCTACTATGTTAGTCACATGGCCTCAGACCAAATTTTAAGAGAACCATTAGCTTCTAAGACAAGAATTTGTGACTTGCCCTGTTTGAGGAGGATTTGAGACATACAAATTGTTCCATGTGAAGATTCAAAAAATTAAAAGGTTATCCAATGTATTTTTAAAAGTTTCATTGAGGAAGTCCCAGAGGCCCAATGTTACCCAAATACTAGGCATAGGTTCTAGCACCAGATATTTTCTCATCATGTATTTCACACTTTAAAAAAAAATTCTCACTTAATTTTTACTTGTTCCTGACCTCAGCGACAGAGGTAGGGACATCTTTCTCATTTTAATAGTCACTCGGGACCTGAATAACAGCCCACACACATGATAAATGCTCATAGAATCTGTGGCATTAAACTGAAAACACTCAAAATGTAGACTGGCTGGATAAGCAAACATTCTCCAACCTGCGTTCCTGCCAGTCACTGAGACTGGGCAGCTCACAAGGTTGAAACTCCAAAGGCCCCATCAGTTCTAACTTCCGAGTATGTGTCACTTGTACAATCAACTTTCTAAACTCCAGGGAGCCGAAGTGAGGCAGGCCTTAATGGGTCAAAAATCACACTTAGATAAGCAGCACCTTTTAAGACGTTCCCTCAAACAAGTTCCAAACCGGTGCTTCTCAAACTTCAGTGGGTATTCCAATCACCTGGGGATCTCGTTAAAGAGCAGATCCCGAGTCAGTGGTTTTGGTGTTTAAGTCCCCAGATTGGGCAGTTCAAAGGAGCTCCCAAGAGATTCCAATGCTGCGGTTCCACCAACCACTCTCGGAGTTCAAGGCCCACAAATGCCCAAAGACACCCAGGTCTCTGATATTAGCAATAGACAACAGATGCATCTACAGGCAGTGCCCCATTATCCCTTGGGTTTTCTGCATCCCCTGAGCGTCGCCACCACCACCGGGTCGCACCTGGCAGGTGCCCTGGCCGCAGCCGCGCCCCCCTCCTCCTCTCTGCGCTCACCTTCTCCCGGGTCTTCAGGTACCGCTGCAGCGCCTGCTGGGTGAGCTCGCCGACGCGCAGCTGGCCCTCCTTGCAGGGCACCACGATGCCCGTTCTACCGAAGCACACGGTCACTTTCATCCTGGCCCCCGGCGACCACGCCGGGCAGGGCCGAACAGGTGTCTGACCCCGCGGGCGCAGCCCCCACTCTCGGAGGACGCCAGGCGCGGGTGGGCCCGGAGACCCGGGGCGCCGCTCTCCGGGGCACCCTGAGGCCCGGGGGCTCGCGGCAGCGCCCCTTCCACCCGGGCAGGCGGCGGGCAGCGGGAATCGGGGAGGGACGGCCACGGAGAGGGGTCACCTCCCAGGTGCCCGGCGGCCCGGGACGCTGCGGCTCTGCGGCCCGGCTCCTCCTCCTCCACCTCCCGCTCCACTCCTGCCCGGCCCAGGCTGCTGCTCCGCGCCCACCAAAGCGAAACTGCTCGCCCTGCCCTGTCTCTGGCCCTGGCCCTGGCGGCGGTGGCAGGGCCGGCCCCAGGCCCCGGGCTCGAGTGGGTGGCGGCGGCGGCGGCGCGCGGGGCTGGAGTTGGGAGGAAACTTTTGCGCCGGCTCCCAACTCCTCCGCGGCGCCCGCGCTCTGGGCTCCCGCGGTCCCGGGGCCGGCCTGGGCCCGGCTCTTAAAGGGGCCGCCGCGCTCCCCGGCCCCGCCGCGCTCTGGGCGACGCCGTGCCCAGGCTCTGCAGGCCGGTAAGTGGAGCCCGGGAGCCTCGTCCCCTCAGCTGGGTCGCTCCCTGGCTCGCTCCCTCTCGCACGCATGCACACGGAGCTCTGGGGAGCTGTAAGGGGACCCGAGGGCTACCCACTCGGGGATTGAAACCGGATCTCAGAAAGCACACCCGAGAGAAGAGCGAGGAGACTGCAGAGCTGCACCCTTCACAGGAGGGGACTGCAGCAAGATGCAAAAGGAGCCCGGGAGCAGGTGCTTCTAGTCACGCCCACCAAAAACACCCCGGGGGCGAGGCTGCCAGGTGCTGAGAGGCTGGAGTGGCTCGAGGGCCTGTTAGGAGCTCTCTTAAGCACAGCCTTGGCAGCTGCTGTCTAGAGCCCTGGGATAGCAGATCTGAAGCGAACCTTTCCTTTTACGGACGAGGACACCGAGTATTCGGCCAAAGGTCACACCCCAAACCCAGATATGATCGCGTGTGTTGACACATAGCCTTCTGGAATGCGACTACTGTTGGGCATTTTATTAGAAAAAAAAAAGTTAAACACCTTTAGGCTCATGATTTGGCAGGTGTGTATCTATCGCCAATTGAAATGGGACTATGTGGAGGGCAAATCAATGAATTACACTTGTTTCATTCTTAGGTCTCATGTAAATAAGCTCCTTTGAGCTTAACAACAACCCCATAGGTAGATACTATTCTTCGCCTCTTGTGCATAAAGAACGGTGCCCCGGAGAGGTCAACAGAGGTGTTGGTAGTTCTGTTGAAAAGAACTCAGGTCTTCGGAGCTCAATCTCTGGTCTCTCCCAGCAGTTATCTTAGCCGGATATCCTGTAAGACCCTCAGGGCTGCATCATGTGTTTCTCTACGGAAGGATTTACTCCTATGTGGACACACTTACGTTGAACTGGAATTGCCTAGGATGGTATCATAATGCACAGGAGATTAAATTTATGGGTTTTGAGAGATTTTTTTAATTAGCTCATTCATACATTCAATAAATATATATTGGTTGTCTTCTATGTATAGAAGGTCAATGGCAACCAAGAGGATCATGTAAACCAAGTCCATAGTAATTTGGTTAAATATCCAATACAAACTAATTTATATTTAAATAAACCAAAGACAGAATCGATCTCCTCATAGAATCAGAAGATCCAGAGAACACTCCCTTGCGGCAAGGCTGAAAGCAGAAACTCAAACCATATCCTCAGCGGCTAGCTCTCTCCAGCTCTTGGCTCTATCTGTTCCTCAGTGTGGTCTCAATTCTCAGCCCAGCTCTCTTCAAAGAAGGCACTATATCCTCTTATTAGAGATGAGTAGCTGAGACCAAAGGAGATTAAATGGTTTGGTTACAATTTCATTCTTAGAATGTACCAGAGGCTGGCTTAAAACCCAGGCCATCTGATTCCAGAGTCTTCATCGTACTGCTATGCTTCTTCTTACATGGGAAGTACCAAATGAGTAAATCAAACAAACAAATAAATACTAATGCCATGCATTAATGTGTGGCCCTCACTTTTAATATTGGGTATTTCATGGACCTGTAGAATGATACAGAGCAAAGATTTTCCAATGGTGAAATAACTTTGTATGTTGCCATCCTTCCTGCTTTGTGGCTTTTTTCTTTACAGTTGCTCCAGACTCATTTTCTGCTGCTCCAGTCATGAATAGCTCCTGTTCCTCTCCACAAACTCCTTCTCAGCCCAACTTTAGCTTCTTCCCAATACCTAGAACCCCCCACCCGAAGTCCTGGCTTTGAGAATCTTCATGTGAACCATAAAGGACATTCTAGCTCTCCCAATTCCACTTGGAAAGTTGGAATCAGGACTTAGGAGATGCGGCAGAGGCCATGCCATCATGAGATGAAGGAAGAGATGACTCTAGACAAGGATGAGAATGGTGCATTGTGCAATTCTATACACCACAAGGTGACCTTTTATAGCCCTGAGTTAGTATGAAGAGTTTAGTATTGACATTTCATGTTTATTAAATAGCCAGCTTTAATTTGTTATTCAGCCTCATCACAGCATACATAGAAACAATTTATCATATATCAACAAGTGATTTTTAAAAAGAACACAATTGCAACACACAGTCATTCATACCCAGCAAATTCCTAAATCAGTATTTCATGCCCCATGGGACCACCTGGGCAGAAGACAATAGATAATTTGCCTTGGTTGAGTAATACTAGAGGATTCTAGGCCTGGGTTCCAGTTTCTTGTTTTGCCTGCTCAGTGGATAAATATTGCCTGTGATATGATATTTTTTCATTTGTTATCCAACAGCTTAACAAGTAAGAAATGTTATACAGAGAACAATAATCCTAACCAATATTATTAAACCGCCCTGACTTGCGAAAGTTTAACTAAAGTGACAGGCACTATCAGGTGTATATTGAATGAAGAATGATAATATTTAACCTATAGTTGACCAGTAACCGATTCACATGTTAAACAAAATATTTTCACCTTTCAAGGAATTATTTATAGCAAGTACTATTTATCACAAAAAAATTAATCAATTTTACTAATTAAATTATTTCTAAAACCTGTGGATTATTAGTAGACTATGTTCTTTGCTCCCTTCTGAAAGCAAGGTGTAAGGACTGCATAAAAAAAAGAAAGAGAAAAATGGGGATTATTTTTCACTTTTTTCTTTTTATATTTAAAAGCAAAGTGTCTGGGTTATTGTTTAACTGGGCAAGAATGGATTCTTCTTTAGATGTGTTTGTCTATAAATACTGCATGGCATTTATTTGTTGACGTTTTTGGTTATTTCCGTAGCTCTCCTGGATGTACAAATAACAATGCTCTTCACCCTAATGGGAATTTTATGGGCCACCAGTTTTTTGGAAGTTCCATCTTTTTGCCTATCCTATAAGCAAGAATCACAAGTCTCTACAAATGATACAGCTAGATCACCCCTCCTTACATTGAATTCTACTCTGTAGAAATTAATATTCTCCCTCAGTTTGTTTTCTTGAAAAGGAGCTGAATCATGAAATGAGCATCACTTAAAAAAAAAAAAAAAAAGTAAAATGAATAACCAAAAGCAAGGAAACTGTTCTGATGCTGTTTATTGCTAATTTTGATTATTTAATGTTTTCTTCATTGTGTGATCTCCTTCTCTGAAGCTTATTGGGGCCCATTAACAGTAAGCACAGGAATAGGCCCTACTCAGGATAAAACCGGCTCCTTTCACCTCTAGGTGTCTGTAAAAGACTGTTAGGAAAGGGCCAACAGCAGTGGTCGGAGTGCTCTCCAACAAGCGCAGCTGTCCAAGGTTAGCTTCTGAACTGAGGTAAGGGTGCAACCAAGAGTTCTCTTTTCAATTCTACTAACTTTACTGAAGCTGGCTTTCTGATTCTCATTTATATCCCTTTACTTGGAGAGGAAGCGAACTGTCATCCATGTAATTGACAGAAGCTAGAGGGAGATTTGGCCTGGGATGTTTCAGTGTTTAAGTCATGTATGAGCAGTGATAAGCAGTAGATAAGCTAAGTAATCTTAGGCACATGTCACTATCCTTTTTTGTAAAATGGGATGATAACTTTATTTTAAGGTGTAACATACATAAAGCACCCAACACACAGTAGGCAAGATATATTGCCCTCCTTCAACTTTTTTTTTCATTTGCTAGCATTTTTAAATGTCACTTGTTTTCATTGAGTCTGAAACTACTTCCAAAATGAAACAATTCAAACGATATGTAGAAACTACACATCAACTACACAACTTCTGGAGACCAAGTGTAACTAGCTCTGTGATGAGGGTGCCAGAACCATAGCAAAAGTAATGTTAAGATGTGTATTCTACTTTACAATCTATATACTATTTCATTTGATGCTCAAAAATTAATATTGAAACTTTTAATCTAGTACATGAGAATCACAGAATTACAGAGTTGAACGGGGCTTTGGAGATTACTTGGTACAATATCCTCATTTTACAGATGAGCAAACTGGACTAGTCAAGGAAACTGGTTAAGCCAGGATTAGAACCCAGATCCTCTGGATCAGTCTAGTGCTTTCTTCATTTCCCTGTCTGCCTGGTAATAGAATTTATAACATTAGATTTTTGACCAACATTGGTTCAAGGCTTTGTGGTTTGTTGTTGTTGTTGTTTTTGAGACAGTCTCACTCTGTTGCCCAGGCTGGAGTCCAGTGGCACCATCTTGGCTCATTGCAGCCTCTGCCTCTCGGATTTGAGCAGTTTTCCTGCCTCCGCTTCCTGAGTAGCTGGGATTACAGGTGCATGCCACCACACTTGGCTAATTTTTGTATTTTTAGTAGAGACAGGGTTTCACCATGTTGGCCAGGCTGGCTTGAACTCCTGACTTCAAGTGATCTGCCTACCTCAGCCTCCCAAAGTGCTGGGATTATAGGCATGAACCACCATGGCCAGCCATGGCTCAAGACTTTGAACTCTCATTGGGTAGGAAGTGCTGGTATGCTGTTCATTCTTCTATCTATTCCTGCAGTTGCAATTTAAACTTAAGATTCTGAACAGTTATTCTCCCCACAGTTGCAGATATCAAAAAAGTCTGCTGAGTATTTAAATGATTATTACAGAAAATTATAAACCACCAAAGGATTTTAAGCAGGACAACA